TCATTGCCTTCAATGCCAACATGTGAGGGTATCCATTGAAGGTGAATTTTGAGTTTTTGGAGATAACCAATTATGTTCCTGCTTACTCTTTGTCTCTGAGTTCCCCTGTGTGACTCAAGTGTTGTATGGCACTTCTACTATCAGTAAGAATCCAGATATCTTGATAATTAGTATTTCTGATGGAATTTAAGGCTTCTTTAAGGCCTTTTAGGGGATCGGTGGAAGGCTGGTTAAACTGTTTAGTTGTCGACCACTACGACCCGGGTTCGAATCCCGCATTGGACACTTTTTTCTGTTTAAAAAAAAAATAATAAAAAATGCTCCAATGGCCCCCGATTCTTGCAAAAGTCCAACCCCACCAGCGAGTGCAAGTAACCAAACAGGGCTCTGGCACATTTGTAAGTGCAAAGTCGAACTGCTTTTCACATGTGTAGACATGTGGTGCGCTTACAGTTAAAAAGCAGTCGCTAACTATCCACCATGATTATCATGGCCTGTACCACGTGTACTAGGGATAAGCAAAAAAAAAAGGCTTCATAGATGGCTATAAGTTCTGATCTGAAGACTGAGCAAAAATCTGGGTTTCTTCTGTTTATTTTCTCAATGCCATTTGTGGTTTTGATGGACAGCCACTGCCAGTGTGTCCTAGCTCGTCTCTGCTACCATCAGTATAGATAGTTATTGCATTTTTAGGAATGTTATTAATTATTTCTAATGATAATTGTTTTAAGCATTCTGAATTTTGGTATTGTTTGTTGGTGGGTTCATTTAAAGTGGCATTAAAAATAACATTTTGTAGTGGTTTGCATGGAGAAATTTTTTCTGCTAAATAATTTTTTTCCACTTTATATTTTAAAAATTCATTTCTTTTGGCCAGGTGTAGAGGGCCTTCTTTTTTGAGTCTTAAATTGCATTCCCAATTAAGTATGTACTTGGAAGTTCTGTGTTTGTTTCCATAACTCTTAATTTTGTTTATATATTTTGGCAGATTGTAGCTTCCTCTATCCTTTAAGGGCATAATGTCTGCCTCGTAAAGTACAATATCATTAGGGCAGGTATTACGAAGACCTGTAATAATTCTAGCTGCACTTAGTTGTATCCTTTCCAGTGATTTTAGATTTGTTTCAGATGCTGTACCATAGATTTGATATCCATATTCCAGGATAGGGCTAATTAGAGATGTGTAAGTTAATTTTAGTGTGGTTGCATCGGCTCCCCACTCTCTTCCTGAAATATATTTCAGGATTTTTAGTCGGTCTCTTCCTTTTCTAATAACTTCTTCAATGTGTTTACTGGAGTTAATTTCGGATCCAGGGTGTAGCCAAGATATTTAGGATGTTTATTATATTGCAATTGTTGTTCTTTCAGAATAATTTTTGGTCTTATTTTGAATAGTTTCTTATCGGTAGTAAAAAAGACAGGTTTCAGATTTTTGGGGGTTAAATTCTAATTTATGTTTATTAGCAAATTTTTCTAGGTGGAAAAGAGTTTTGTTCAAATCTCTTTCAGCTTTTTTCCAGTTAGTATTGCTGCTCCATAGAATAATGTCATCAGTGAAAAGTCCAATATTGGTTTTATGTGAAAATTTTCTTCTATGCCTGCAATAAATAGGGTGAAGAGAGTTGGGCTAAGGACTGATCCTTGTGGTAATCCTTGGTACAATTTGAAGGTTTTAGATAGAGTGCCATTATATTTGACCCTGATGTATCTATTTTTAAGGAAATCATTTATCCAAGTGATAGCTTTTCCATCAATTTTGAAATGTTTGTATAATTTTGTAATTAACTTGGTTTTCCATACATTATCAAAAGCTTGTGTAAGGTCTAAAAAAGCAGCTATTGTGTGGTTAGTTGGTTTTCTGTTTTGTGCATCTTTTACCTTTTGTGTGAAAAATAAGAGTTGGTCTATTGTCCCATGTCCTTTCCTAAATCCATATTGTTCTTTTGGTAAGAGATTTCTTGTGTCGAGGTGGTAGGTGAGTCGTCTGAGTATAATTTTTTCCATTAATTTGCAGCAAATACTTGTGAGGGAGATAGGTCGGTAGTTTTTTGGGTCATCAGCAGATTTGTCAAGTTTTTTAATAGGAATTATTGTTGCAGTTTTCCAGTCTTGAGGCAATTTTCCAGATTTCCAGGAGTTATTGAAAATATCAAGAAGTTTTTCTTTGCCATTTTTGCCCAAGTTTGATATCATTTGGCCATGGATTCCATCTGGCCCAGGAGTCTTGTTCAGGTCAGTGTTTTCTAATGCATAATCTAGCTCTTTCATATTGATTTTTTCATGGAAAATATTATGAGTGCTAGTGACGTTTTTACAGTCATGGATAATCTTTCGGGCCTTTTTTCAACTTTCTTATCTTTTATTTCAAATTTGATTTTACTAATTATTTGATATGAATTACCTAAAAGATTAGCAGCATTTTTGTCATTAGTTGCTGGGGTACCATCTGTATTCTTAATCATATTTGTGTTTTCAGTTTGTGGCTGGGCTCTGTCAATTTGTTTTGCCAAATGCCAAAGTTTTGTATTTGGGTTTCTTGGGTTCAGGTTTTCACAAGTTTGTTTCCATTTTCCCTTTTCATATTTACTTATAATCTTTTTATTTTTGCATTCACAATGTTCAGTTCAGTTCTACAATTTGTTTGGTTTTGGTGGAACTTTTTTTGTAGTTCATTTCTTTTAGTTATAAGTGTTTGAATATCTTTTGCCTGAGGGTATAATTTGGAATCCATTTCTTAATATTACCTCTTGGTATTGAAACTTTGGCTACTTTAATAATGGTGTTTTTGAAAGATATCCAATTTTGTTCCAGATCTTTTATTCTAGTGGGTATATTTATAAAGTCTTCATTGGTGTTTTGCTGGTAAAGATTCCAATTAGCCTTTTTGAAGTTCCAGAATTTTTCTTTAATTGAGCTGGTTTTGGTCTTGATGCTAATTTCTATCAAAATAGGCAAATGATCACTTCCAATACTTTTTAATATTTGCCATTTGCATTTGTGGAAAATGTCAGGACTGGAGAAACTTATATAAAGGGCTTGTGGGGTATTATAACTGGAGGAATGGTGGGTAGGATTCCCATCATTTAAGCACATGAAGGCATTGTCCTCAAATAAGTTTGAAAGTATTTTGCCTCTTGGGTTTGGCGTGGAACATCCCCATAGTTGATGTTTGGCATTAAGGTCACCTACAATAATAGTGTTGTCTGTAAGAAATTGAGCCATTGTTCCATCGTCAATAAGTTTATTGTTTGGTGGGTGATACCGAATATGTTGATGGTTTTGTTTTGATTGAGGAAGACTTTGGTACCTTGGGCTTCTAGGTCTGATGTGTTTGGAATATTAATGGCTATGTCTTCATAGTACAAATTCTTGGTTAAAAATGCAAGGCCACCCCCTTCTTTATTTCTGTCTTTTCTGAGGATATTGTAGTTTTTATATTTGAGATTGTACTTTTCATTTAATTTGGTTTCCTGTAGGGCTATAATTTGTATCTTTTGTTTTTCAGCTCTTTCCATTATTTCTTCTAATTTTATTTTTGTTGCTGTTGAGCACAATCCATTTATGTTACACTGCAGAATGCTCAATTGCTTGGAAGTTGCAAAGTGTGAAGTTTGTGGAGACTGTATTATACTTATCGGACAGAACCCTCTACCTAAGTCCTGAACGCGCCCCTGTTTATTCTGCGCGACGGGCGATGCAGCATGCAAATCAACATCTGATCTCATGGAATGGGGTATAGGGGTGCAGCTTTCGTTGATCATGGCACCATGATCCAGGCACACTTTGGTGAAAATCTGACTTTGCCTAGTTTGAGGCCGTTCCTAACATGGAAGCAGACGCCTTTGCTGCCGACTCTAACATGAGTACAGACACAGCTCCTCCGTATCCCTGGAGTGGGACCCTTGCTGAGGTCCATTAACCGGGTCAGCTGAAGTCAGGATTTTTAAAGAGGTCTACTCCTCTTCTAACAATGCTGCTGTTGGTCCGCGACTGCTTATTTGTCAGAGTTATTCTGCTTGTTTCGCAGCTGGCCTTCATATCTGAAGGTCGTTCCCCTATCCGCGCCCTATAGCAGTCAGCTCTGCCAAGGGACAACATCCTCTTCTTCATGTATAAGTACTAAACCAAATGGACAAACAAACCCCTCTTAATATAATCTAGTTACAGTAGAACTCTCTGAAGAAGAAGGAATAAAAGTTAACGGCAACAAGTTTCTTTTATGAAGAAACTATAAAAGAAACTTGTTGCCGTTAACTTTTATTCCTTCTTCAAGATGATGTCAGACGATTCCTTCTCTTGTAACTCTCTTTCTAAAGGCTACCTGGATGCAGAGCCAAAGTGTCCTTTAGAGAAAGATGTCTTTTACCCGAAAGTTGCTTAATAGTAAAAATGATAATCTTAGCTATGCAAACTGTCCTTTGTAGAGAGGTAACATCTAGCGAGGTGTTCCTTTTACAGAGGTTCTACTATAATTGCATTTGGTCTTGTCACTTTATGATTCTTATCTATAATCCAATTTTCTTATCTATAATCTATAAGTACCTCATTACTTTTAAGATTTGTTCACACACGGCTACTTTATTTTAATGGTGTAGCTTGGTAATGTTTCCCTACAATGACAAGCAACCTCAGAGATTGTGTTCTATTCCCAAACTGTGGTGTGAGCCTTCCTTCCTGTCCCATGTTCTCTAGAAGCTGCTAGACCAATGTCGACTGGATGACCATTGATATTATACACCTGACAATACAGTAGAACTTCCAAACTTCCATGAAAGGATGCTTTCGCTAGACGACACCTCTCTAAATAGAAAAGTTTTTACATTATAAAGGACTGCGGCGAGTGATTATAAACAATACTTAAAGTTATACCGCATAAGTTTCTTTTTTTGTGAAAAATCAATATTTATTTCAAAGAGAAATATTTACTATTTCTAACTTTTTTGAATGAAGTATGAGAGGGTGAAAATATGAAGAGTAATGGCGAATAGAAAAATAAAAGTGTCCAGGGGCGGGAATCGAACCCACAACCTTCTGCTTACCGAGCAGGTGCCATGTCCACTAGGCTACCCTGGACGTATTCCTCCATTCGTAAATAATATTTAAAGTAACTTATATTACATTATAAAGGACTGCGGCAATGATTAGAAAAGTTTTTATTGCCAAAAATACCATTTTTATTAATTAGTGACTATCTGATATGAGGCCACCTCTCCCTAGAGGCTGTGCAACTAGGGGTTATGTCTTTTAGAGGGAGGTTCTACTGTACCATCATCAACAGCATCACCCTAGAAGAAGAAAAAAAAATGTGTGCAGTAGTTTCTACCAAATATGTAATAAGGAATGCGGGTGATGTCCGGGTACTATCTTAAATTGGTATCTCTATAACCCTTGCAACTGCAAACAAAGGAGATGTTGTCAGATGATAAGCATGGTTTAGCTTCAGTAGGGCAAGCCAGCATGTGTGGCCGCTATTAGAGTCAGTTCTTAACCCCATATAACTCTTTATCAGCTTATAGTAGTAATATCTCAGCAATGATAATTAGCATTGATGTTGCCTGCCCACAACTGCAACACTTCATAATACACTCTCTTTGGGGATTGGTGAAGTGAGATAAACCGCCATTTTCAACAGATATGACCCAGTATCAAATTCTGTATTGTGCATTTTTTCTGATTAAAAATTATTCCAATAGCTCCCAATTCTGGCAAATGTTCAATCCCACCAGTGTTGAGTGCAAATAAATAAATAATTTCTGTTATACATGTATGTACAAAAGTCGAACTGCTTTCTTCATTTGTAGATATGTGGGGTGCTTACAGTAGGCGTCGCTAACTACCCACCATGATTATCATGGCCTGTACAACATGTACTTAATTTTAAAAAACTTATTTGGAGTTGGTTTGATTTCTATTTATAATCCAAATTGCATACCTAATCGTAAACTATCTCTATATTTATATATAAAAGATTGTAGTTTTGTAAGGTAGAAGGAATTGTAAGTAATCCTATGACAGGAGTTGTACTCACCCAGTCCCAGAGTCCTGTCGATGGTGGAGGGAATCTTAGAGGGGATGAACCTCAGTGTAAAGTTGGGGGAGGTTCCAGGCTGGTCCCCGGAGAAGACTACCCCAATGGCTGTGTCGTCATAGTTGTCCAGGAAGTATTGGTCAATGTCCCTGGCCTTGTCAAAGAACAGGCATTTGGACACGGGGACCTTGTGTTTCTTGAGCTGCTTCAGCACAAGATCCATGGTGGAATGGACATGGGAGTTGTTGGGGGCCACAAAGAGGACACTGGGCCACTTGATATCATCACTCAGGGACATGTTGCTGGCATCCTGGGCCACTGTCATGTCATAGGACTTGTCCTTGTTGTCCATCTTCATGACGATCATCGTAACTACCATCAGAAGTGTAAAGCAGATTTCCTGGAGCACCAAACATTTGGTTATACATTGAAAGATCAACCTTCAATCTCTTGGCAAATGTTCCATCACCTAGGACAGTCAATGCATTAAATGTATGGTATTAAGGGAATTAAGAAAAAATCCACAATGCACACAATTCTGGAAAAAACAGAATCCCAATAAATCTACCAAACAAAACTACAAATCCCCCGCCCTTCCCACCAAATCATAAGCACAAAGAAATAATCTTCAATTTAGACCTGGGAAATAAACTTAACAAGAAAAATGAAAACCCACATATACTCAAATCCCTAGAACTTGAAAGGGCAAATCAATATGGAACAAACTACAGTATAACCTCGTTAATTCGACATACGCAAATTCGACACTCTACCCTAATTCGACCATATTCTGATGTCCCGACCTCCGGCCTATCAAATAACCAACCGTAATTCGACAGTATCGATAATACGACACTTCCGATAGTTCGACCATTTTAAAATTCGAATTTCGACAGTTGAATGTTTTTTTACATACAACTTTACTGCTAAACGGTATTACGGCGGCGGCAAGCGGCGACGACGGCGGGCGCTGATTGAATCGCGCCTGCGCACTTTTGGTTTCTGTTAGTTTAAGTTTCACCTTGCAGTGCCGTTGCGCAATGTCACGAGTGTTATTGTTTTTTTTTTTTTTTATTTAGGAATCGCGCGCTAATTAATATTATTATTTTCTTTTTAAATTTCAGCATTGAAATGTTTAAGTTATTTTAAAAATTACAAATAATTTCATTTCAAATAAATAAATCTTCATAAAATGTAGCCACAATGATTATGATAACATTTTATTTCAATATTCCATTTCCATATTATTATAAAAGATTTAAACACAAAATCAATAACACCTGCAGCAGCAGTGGATGTCTTTAATACAATAAAAACTCTTTGTTATTTAAAACACATTCCAGAGGAAGAAAGACATGCATGTTTTTTTTGTTTTAATAGACCATCTGGAATATATCCTGAATAGGATTTCAGTGCAAAAACAGACATCTATAAAGGAATTTTTAAAAAGATCTTCATGATTATTTTTAAATTTTCTTTTTATTTTCCATATTTATTTCCTTTAAACTTCTATATTCTTCAATTAGAGTAAACTATTATTTGTAATTATTTTCTGTTTCAAAAATATGTATTATTGCCATTTTGTCCCTGATACTAATAATACAAAAAAGGACACACACAATGGTTTCAATTAATATGGTCAATTTATATTACAAAGCAATTAAAAAAAAATATTATTTTAGCGAGTTAGATGATTAGCTAATCATCTAACCTTAATTCAACACTTCCTTTAATTCAACCAAAAGCTCAGATCCCTTGGGGTGTTGAATTAAAGAGGTTCGACTGTATATAAAAATTAACACTGATGGTTCTAGATAGTTCTATGGGAGTGGTGTGCTCATACAGGACAGAAACCAAAGTCAGGAACTCAAGGTCACCAACAAATTTGGGAGCTCTGTGTTCAATGCTGTACTGGAAGCTCTAGCCCTAGAACACATTGATAAGGAAAACCCACATAAAATTGTCTTCTTCACAGACTCACTGTGAGCTCTACAAGCCGTAAAACATTGTAACACAGCTAAAAACACTTAGCTAATCAATACAAGGATCTGTGAATATATAAACCATGAAATGTGGCCAAACCAGAGTCCAAAGAACATTGACAAAACTAGAGAGGAAGTGAGAGTGTTCTAACAGAGGAGAGAAGGAAGATGTTCTGTGATTAAACATTTAAAAAGTGAAAGTATTATAAGGAGAGACATGAATCATTTCCAACATCAGGTAGAAAAATAAGTCTAAAATATGGCTCAAGAGTAAAATGTAAATTCCCATTATTAGAATACTTGCTGATGTCTCCGAACTTGTTCCCATATCTTAATCTAGCAGAAAGTTTTTACAAACCAGGATGAGGTTTGGTTAGTTTATGTTATCTTCGGATTATAGGCTCAGGTTAGGGTTTTATTAAATTATCCCAAGTACAAATGGTATAGGCCATGATAATCATGGTGGGTAGTTAATGACTGCTTTTACTGAAAGTGCACCACATGTTTACACATGATAGAGAGTAGAAAGTTGTTTGACTAATGCACTTACAGGTGTGCTAGAGGTTTGTGGTGTTACTTGCATTCACTGGTGGGGGTTGTACCTTTTCAAGAATTGAGGCCATTGAAGCAAATTTTCTTCATAAAAAAAAAAAAAAGTGCCGAATGTAGGTTTTAACCTGGAATCTTGGCTGTTAAAAATCAATGGCTTATACCAGGGGTCGGCAACCTTTTGATTCAGAAGAGCCAAAAATTACAATTTACAAAATTTGAAAGGTATGGAACTAGATAAAGAGCCGCAGCTTCACATCCAAAGAGCCGCATGTGGCTCGTGAGCCGCAGTTTTCTGACCCCTGGTTTACACCAATTCCCCATAACCTCCAGGTCCTGAGACCTCCCACTGTGAGATTAGAGACTCCCATTATAATTGATGATGGTGGAAGGGTGACTTACCATTACTGCAATCCCCTTGTTGTTCTTCTTTATCTGCCAGCTCTTCCATAGCAGGACCTTGACCTGGGGCCAGAACAGGGACTGGCTAAGTGGAGTCGCCATACTTACTGTAACATCATAACTGGTATATGTAGTAGTTACTGCACTAAATATTTTGGGGAATGTAATTCATTTTTTATTCTCTAATCAATGTAAAATGTTCAATTCTCACTAATAAATGTACTTGTCAGTTTGAAAAATGTCAAAGCAAAATATCTTATTTCCCAAAATTTCTAAAAATATAAAAGACAAAAAACATAGGATATACATTTAAAAAAGATAAAGTTCCTACTATTTAAAAGTACTGAATAAAAATACATTAAATATAGGGTAAGGGATCTGGACTATCTAAAACAATTAATGGCGAAATGATCGATATTGTAAGACATTATGGCGACCCAAACGACGCCATACACTGTATGAAAAATAAGTGATCAAGCATTAAGCATTAATCCTAGATAGCTCGCCTGTTATATATAATTAAATTTATTTTGGTAAATTAAGGGTAAATAAAAAAAATGCTGTTATGCGTATCAACTTGTGTGGATAATTACACCCAAGTTACTTACATGAAACGAATGTAGTGTCAAAGTAAGGTAACAATGGTATTGATTAGATGAACAAACAACTTGATGGAAACATAATTGTTAGTCTGCTCTTCATTACCAAAACATTAAAAACAAAAATGAGTGTTAAGTGAATGATTTTTATTAACTTCCGGTCTCTCTCTACGAAAAATAATTCAGAATTATTATTTTTATATATTACTAGCGGACGTACCCGGCTTCGCCCGGGTTTTACCCGAGTAAAAGTTTGTCTAACGAATCTCTCGATAAAGTGAACATTTTTTTTCCCCCCGGTCCCTTGAAAAATACTCGATAAGTTGAATAAAAAATCAATATTAATTGGTTCCCTCGGTAATTGGAAGTTAAAGGAATAGTATCTTGCCTTTGAATTGTATCATTATTCTTGTCTCAAATAAATTGCCGTGTCATCCTGAATTTTGTCTTTCCTAATTTTCTACATTACAAAATCATCGTATCATCATGATAATATTTAGAGCAGATTGTTGA